ATTTAGTTGATAGTTGATTGGTTAATAGTTGATGAACCACATTGAATACCAGTTGAAGGGCAGCTAACATCTATGAACACCGAAAAAATAAACTGCTAAAAATCGATTAGTGAAAGGTTTATAAGGTTTTAGGTTTGGTTATTTACGTTTTTTCTCAGGGAATTTTGGGAGGAACTTGATGAAGATGTCAGGTATCAAAACTGTTTTTTGGATTGGATGTTCCTAGGTTTCACTGGTGCTTAACTGTTTCCGTGATTTTTGTTGACCATTTTGTTGGCGAACCTACAGGAATCAAATCGCTACATGTTCATAGGATCTCATCAGTTTTCAGGTGATCAAATTCCACCAGGTGCATCAGCAACTTGCTGCATCCTACTAGGGGGTACTCCCCAAATAGTCATAATCTGATACTTAGACGGTATCCCCCCAATGAAACAACCGTAAACGGAGTTTATTAATCCAGGGTTGACATTATCACCCCACTTTTTTTCGTGGAGTTTTTGTCCCTTCTTAACCCATTGGATTCCATTGGATTGTCCAGGGTAAACAGAGGTCCCTTCTTGCGATTTGCAGGATGAATCACCTATATACATAGGTCTGGGTAGATTCTAAGGACCTCACTGCGACCTCACTGGAATCATGGTTATAGTAAGAGGAATCATCCCAAAATGGCCTTAATTCAGGTTAGTGAATTATTATAATTTACCCAGATAGGTCCCTTTGAGTGTTTCAGGATGTGTCTCAGTGTCTTCATCGTTATTGGAGTTGGCTCTGACATGCTCTTTGTCTACACGGACTTCTACAAGCAATCTTTGCTGCCCGGTTGGGTTTTTGTGCATGTGGAATTCTCCGAAAGGAATCACTGATTCTACACGAAAAGGGGTTCCTGAAATGGAGCTACCCCCAGTTCTCATCCATTTTAGATTGGGACTTTCCATCTAAACCATCCAATGCTCGCTTGGGATATCTCCATTTCAGGAAACCCCCACCTGGAAATGGTCGGCCCAGGCCTGGGAGATGGTGAGCCCTGGTGAGCCGTGAAGTTATGGCCATGTTTGTCTGAGGACAATGAGGTCTTCACCGTTTTTTGATGAGAATCTAAGGTATCTTGATTGGTACCCGGCCTGGTAAACGTACAAAAAACGATGGAAAGATCCACCGTTTTTCATGGGAAAACTCACTATTTCGACTGGGCCATTTTCAATAGCTATGTTAAATTACCAAAGAGTAATTTGAAAAAATCGATCTTGGGTGCCATTTAGAACCATGAGATACCCTCTGGTAACATAATTATGGAAAGATCCACCATGGTTACTACGAAAATCAACTATTTCTATGGCCATGTTCAATAGCTACAATGTGGGGCCCCTTAGATAGCGAATTTGGTTTATAACTCCAATGACTATGGTTTGATATACTTATAACTACAGTTAATGGGGTTTATCAACCAACTTATAACTGTATAAACCACTAAATCAAATTAACAGTTAAATCTACCTATGTCTTAGAACAGTTTTAGTGTCGCACCCCCCCAGTGCCAACAGATCAGCTTTGGATCGTAGATTGCCAGAAAGTAAAATCAAAGTGGGAGACGGTTGAGAAAACAGAAAAAGAAATCAAACTTCACTATTTACCCTCTGGTAATTTAACATAGCTATTGAAAATGGCCCAGTCGAAATAGTGAGTTTTCCCATTGAAAATGGTGGATCTTTCCATAGTTTGTTGTACATTTACCAGAGGGTATGCTTTATGCTCGGTAGATATATGGCGATGGGTCAAGTTACCTGAATTTATGACTCAGGGAATGACCATCCAGCTTTTTTTCCAGCTATGACTTAGGTGACCTAAGTACCAGGCGTTTGACCCATAACCATATCTGCTTCAACCGGGGCTTCATTGAATGGGAAAATATATGGGAAAATATGGGTAAATATATGGGCAAATATATACTGATTGGTGGTGACTGGAACCATGGAATTTTATGACTTTCCATTCAGTTGGGAATTTCATCATCCCAACTGACGAACTCATTTTTCAGAGGGCTAGGTATACCACCAACCAGTATAGTATTCATATGCGTTTTTCTAAAGCAAGAAACATCACGGGGCTGGCGCACCACCTTGCAGAAAACCATCAGTTAGCCTCTGGTAAACGAAGATAGCTATTGAAAATCCAAAGGTCAAACCATTTCAATAGAAAGATCAACTATAGATAAGAGAGGATATGTTACCATCTTCTAAGCCATAGTTAATCTATGTGAAAATCCAGAGAACTATAGTTTATCTAGATCAACCATAACATTCTGGCGGTTTGGAACAGTTTTTATGTTTCCATATATTAGAAATAATAACCCCAACTGATTTTCATATGTTTCAGAGGGGTAGGGCGAAAAAACACCAACCAGTATTGTTATCCCATTATTATCCCATTATTATCCCATTATTATCCATATTAAACCATATTAAAGCTTGTTATCACAGATTTTTTCCCCATGATATTCCCACAGCTATGTTACTTGAAACTCGAGGGTACCATGATTTCGCCATGTGACCTGAGGTTGTTTTCCAGGGAGCCGGTCGACAGATTGAAGTTCACATACATGCAGGCTCTGCTATAGTACCGGAGCTTCATTGAATTCTAGCAATTTCTTGCCCATATTCCAGGGCCGAACATATTCCATGCCAAAATAGCTGGGAAATTCATGGAATTGCGAAGACCCCTTTCAGGTGAAATTTGTATTTCATACAGTTTGCCAAGTACTCCTTTTCTTCTGGCACGTACGTTGTCGACTGCACATGTTCTTCCCCAAAGAAGATCCTTACTTCCAACAATTTCTGGAAATGTCATAATTAATAATGTTGAGTTTTCCAAAAATGGATTAATAATGTTCTTATGGGAATTTGTCATCTACACTTTTCAGGATCTCAAAACCCAATTCATAAGCTGTAAGCTTATGTTCTGGCACGCTTGGCTGGCCTTTCATCAGCAGCGCCATCCCCATCTTTCTTGACATCTTTGTGGTCCCGCAAAGAGCTCTGCACAACAGGATCTGGGAACACAAATCATCGACGATCCTGTTTTCTTCCGTGCAAAATAATTCCACCGATAGAGTACGATGCCTCCCCTGGAGTGCGCTAATTTTCTGGAATGCGAAAATAAAACAGTATGCGTGGCCCCCTTCGACCTTCCCCATGGATCCAACACCAGTTTTTTCCATCATATACCAGAAAATTATCACATTTCACCCTGCTGAGCTTTTTTTTTCTTTTTTTTTTGTTTGGTCATTTTTGGCCAAAATGGCCTGGAATGCGATAGTATGTGAAACTACAGACGTCTCACGCGAAACCGCTACCTTGCCCATATTCCAGAAAACGTGATTCCAGGCGATTTTAGCCCAAAAAAAAAACGAGAAAAAAAAATAAAAATAAAACGCAAAAACCGAAAAATCACCGAGTACGAAGATTTTATGGAGTGCGAAGATCTTGGAGAGTGCGTGGATTTTACAGTATGTGTACGTCCCTAGCTGTGGAGTGCGATGCCCTCGCTGGAGTGCGAAGAATTTGTGGAATGCGAAGAATTCCGAGTATGCGTGGCTGGTATAGAGACCACATAGGGAAATTTCGGGGCCAGAACCAAAATTCCAATCCCAAAGCCAGCCCAAACTTCCAGGGGCACACCAGTGGGTTCTATTTTTCCGAGTTCACCTTGGGTGAGGTCCCGGGGAAGAAACTTGCTAATTTTTACTCAGCCAACCTTTAAAAACGTTACCTTTGACAACCCTGTCCTTCTTCGGTAGACAAATGAGGAAACTTCCTTATCAAAGCAGCCTTCAATTCATTCAACGTCCACAGCTGCTTTGGAACGACATAGGGGATAGAAAGCTGTGGAGGGGCATTCAGTGGATTCGCCGTGGGCCAACTGTTCCCTCCAGATTGAGCTGAAATACCTATCAAAGTAACATACCAAAACCCAGGTCTGGAGTACGATGAAAACATGGTATGCGAAGATTTTCTGAATATGGGAATGTTGCCTCTAGATGAATGGGAAAATAGATGGGAAAATATGGGTAAACCTATGAGCAAATATATAGCGATTTGTTGGGGTTTGCACAACTATAAGCTGGTTTGTGATTTGGAACATGATTTTTTTTGACTTTCCATTCAGTTGGGAATGAAAAAATCATCCCAACTGACTTTCACTCCATCATTTTTCAGAGGGGTAGGTATACCACCCACCAACCAGTATGGGAAAATCATGGAACTAAAGAACTCAATGGGAAAAACTGACAGATTTTTCTTGGGAAGCTGGGGTGCTTCTGATAACCTGACCTGGATTTACGGTGAGTTAGGATGATCGGCATGTTCCCATTGGGATTCAGCTACTGGCGGAATCCATTCAGAGAATATGTTTTACTTTTCGAGAGATCTTGCGAAATATCAGGTTGCTTCAGTCACACCTTCCTGGAACTGGTTGAAGAGTGTTCACGTACAGGAAAACCCTGAATTGGGTTTTAAAAAATCATAGCTTCTTGATGTGCTTTCCATTGAACATATCTACCCTCTAGTAAATTAACATAGACCCTGGCAGATAGGGGTTGGAAGACTAGTTTCCATTAAAAATTGGTGATTTTCAGGGTCAACAAGTTTATTTACCAGAGAGTAAATAATAATCTGAAATATATTGAAATATAATCAATGGCCATTTCAGGATCCGATTTATTGGAGGTACCTACCATATATAAGGCCTATGTTTCAGGCTAACTCATTCCATCCCATTTTAAAAACATCTGTGCCCCACATGCTGTTCACAGCTGGGTCATGTTCTAGGAGCCAAAAATGGTGGGAGTCCTACAAAGTGAGGCCCCCAAGATAGCTAAGTTGGTGCAAATAACTCCAATAACTATCGTTTATGGTACTTATAACGAACTAGTTATTGGGGCTTATAGACCAATTAACATCACTGGGGGGCCCCACTTTGTACATATTGCTACGAACTTCTGAAGAAACCCAAGTCTTCTTGGTGATAACATCCATTTCAACATTTCCTTGGTTGATATCAAGTTGATATCCCTATTTTGCTTGGTCAAACATGTTAAAACCCCATGATTTTTGTCCATAAACGGATCAGTTTCCGAAGGGTTTCCCTGTGGATTTTCCACCTCTTGTTGCATTCACAGGGAAGAAAATCAGGCCCCAGAAGCTTGGTGAATTCATGGATGCTCAATTTATTGGGTACAAGAACTCGATGGCTCGTATTTCGAAGTCGTGAAAATTGGATCATTGATCTGGATTGGACAATTTGGATTGGCGAAACTATGCTTCATTGATCTTCATTGTCTTTGGTTACAACAAATCATAGATTGGTTATACCACTATTCCTCCAAACTCCCAAAAACCAATCTCAGCTGCGTTTGCACTTCGCCCCAAAAAACCCAAATTTCTCTAACGGTGCAGGCCGCCAGTAGTACAGCGGCCACTACCTTCACCACGGCCATGTCCTTCTTTGCGAACTTGGCTTCGGTGCTGCGACCGCTGAGGGAGTTCGGATTCTTCATGGGCGTCTGCGTTGGGAGCCTCAGATGGATGGTGAGGATTGGAAGAAAACTGGTGCGTTTGACGTAGCTAATGGATGGATTGCTGGGGGTTGCTGGGATGATGACATTACGAATGTGATGACGGGGATCATTCCCGAAAATTCCCTGCGTAAAACGCACCAGTAAGGGGACAAAAATGGAAACGAAACGAAAAGTCATGGGGGGGGATAGCCTCAGGTACACTAACAGTTTGCCATTGAAAATCATGATTTATAGGTAAATCAACGAACTAAACAGACTCAATTACAAGAGGGTATCTGGAGGCGCAGTTGAGCTTCGAATTGGGTATTACTATGATTTGGAGCTAGAAGTATCCATGTTCCCAAGGGGCGACTGGGAGTTTCCAACATGGAACCTTTTGGCCAAGTATCTAATTGGATACTTAAGTAACCCATTGCAGGATAGAGGCTTTTCATTACGTTTTTTGGCGTGTTTTTGGTGGGTTTATCCAGATTTCATTGATTTAACCAAAATGGATTCAGTTCACCAACAGAAGTGGTATATTTGGGATATCATGTGATACAGTGGGCATTGGATAAATGATGTTGCAACCTCCGCACTTGGTTTTTTTTGATGTCCCCAGTTTGGGCGGAACTTTTTTTCATCCAGATATGTGTCGAACTTTGGAAGTCTCAGATGTTTTTCTTAGACGGTTATGGGTCAAAAACCCTGGTTCCCGGATGGTACCCAAAGTAATAGCTGGCATAGCTGGATGGTTATTCCCTCAGTCATATGGTCAATTCATGGGTAACTTCACCCATCCCGGATGAGTTTTGTGAAAGAAGCTTCAGGTGCAGAGTTGTTGTTTGTTCGTCCAAGTGGGACGAGGCAATTTCCGTAGGAGTTCAGGAGAGTTCTGAACCAACGTTGGGGGAAAGCCGGAGATATTTCTTGGGGTTTAACTAGCAAAAATGGTAGGAAAAATAGGGATAGAATGGGAATATCATGGACCACTACAGGATGGGCCCCCCCAGTGATGTTAGTTGGTTTATAAACCATAACAAAACCCCATTAACTAGTTCGTTATATCTACCATAAACCATTGAATTCAACCACTTCTGTTCACCAACGGTTCACGCGAGCTCAACTGGGGGCCCCAGCCTGTAGCTATCTTAGGCTGGGTCAATTCTTGGGGCTGCATCGGAATCGATTCATGGAATATCCCCACAATGTCGAAATCGCGATTTCGTGGCCACGAAATCGCGATTTCTTGGGGTTACATACCTAGAAGCTGCTTGGTGGTGACTGGAACAATAGGTTGGTTAATAGTGGTTAATAGTGGTAAATAGTGGTTTTTATAGGGTATAAACCAAGAACAATGGGAATATGATGATGATCTGGTTGGTGGTGACTGGAACCATGGAATTATATGACTTTCCATTCAGTTGGGAATGGAATTTCATCATCCCAACTGACTTTCACTCCATCATGTTTCAGAGGGGTAGGCTCAACCACCAACCAGAATAACTAATAAATGGTTGCGGATAATCCTTCCCATTGACTTTCATATTTTTCAAGATGGTTAAAACCACCAAACAGTTATATGGTTTTGAATTTGATCCACACTTATGCTTGAAAAAAATGCTTGAACCACCGTTTAGTGTGGAATGATAAGGATAGTTAATGGGGTCTATAAACCATAGAACTTGGGGGCCTCACATTGCAGCTATGGGTTCATCGCCACCTTTTTGATGTGGGTTCATCCTACAACTGTTCACCTTGTAGCCACAAAAATAGGGGGTTGGCGCATTCTTCGGATGTTGGCTGCGTTTCAAGTGACAAGGTGACGAAGGTGAGGACCTTGGACTCCTCGTGTTGTTTGTTTGTTGGGTTTGTCTGAAAATAGAGAAAACCCCTACACCCAATGGTTTTGCTGATCATTATCCCTACTTTTTATGGCTATAATTGGGGGTATACCCCATTTTCAGACATACCCATTTGTTTGTTGGTTTTTGCTGTTTGAACTGAGGAAATTGCTGGAAATGTTGGGGTGAAACAAGCCTCAGGTGTTTTTTTTCAACTGGAGAAGATTGGCAGATGTGTGAAGAGAGGCTTAGGGCTGGTTCTGCAAAGCCAGTTGGAATGATGACACATAGATTAGATAGATACCCACCGGTAATCAAACATGGCGATGGACACTCCATTCATAGTTGATGTTTCTATTACCCCCTGGTTTCGATTAACACTTCGACCCTGAAAATCACCAACAAATTGTGTGGTTTCACCAAAAAAAAACTTCCAAATCCTATCTGGCAGGGTCTATGTTAATTTACTGGAGAGTATTCCATTTATGTGCCATCATTACCCATATAAAACCATATAAAGCCATCTCAAACTGCCATGGAAAAAACCTTCATTTTATAAAACCAGACCAATCGGATGTTCAATGCTATTACCAGAGGGGATCCATCATTCACAACTTTCAGTCAGCAGTAAATGGGAATCTATGACACTTAACCATTCGAAAAGGGGGAACATGATGAACATGGCCGATGATGATTGGTCAGTTGGTCATATATCACTTATATCCTATAAAATACTTTTTGAAATATCATACGTTCATACCCGTATTAGATGTATTCATTGAAATACTAAATCATATCCCATAAAATATCTGAGCCACATCTAAAGTGTTCAAATAATATACCATATCAAGATATAGATGCTATCCCATCATATGCCATAGTCCACCCCATAATCTATGATACATCATTTATACAATCCTATATCTATAGATATATACAGTCATATATCTATATATCATAAAAGATATCCTATAACGCTATACCATATTCAAAGTACATCTGTATATCTATACTACATCATATAGATAGCCATCTTCGTTTAGCACCTTAAAAACTGTCGTTGAAAGTTGATGTTCTCAGGTCACCTTAGCCTGGCTGATTGTGTTCCTGGCCTATCCATCAACCCTGGTCATTGGTGAGCGCTTACACACCTGTTGCAGGTCAGGGAACAGACGGAACAGACGAGGATGAAGCCTTAATAATGTACCCTCTGGTAATTTAACATAGGTATGGAAAATCACCATGTTTAATGGGTAAATCAACTACAAATGGCAATTTTCAACAGCTATGTTAAATTACCAGAGGGTAACACCGTTTTTGGGGGAATATGAAGCATATATATAACGCCATAGTTAACCTATGTTTTTTGGGGGTATGTTGAATTGGGATATATGAACATGTTTCATTAGAATGGGACTTTGGATTTCGGAATTCATGATGGAGACTGAATACTTAATGGAAATGTATGGAAAATATGGAAAGTAATATGGGATTGAATACGTCCTGAACCATAATGGGAAAGTAACACTTAATGGAAAGTTATGGAAAATCAGAATTATGAGATTGAATAGTGTCATAAGCATGACGGACATTTTTTTAGCTCTACTGGTTACAATAAGCGCTGTTTTTCAGGAAACCTCTGGAGATTTCAATAGAAGCCATCTCCCCAAAAAAACGGGTATCGGAGAAATGACCATAGGCTAGTGGCACCATTTTTCCTGGTAAAATATTAAAATCACCTTTTTGTGGCTGGAGTTGACCATATTTTCTCTGGTTTGGAAGACTTCGGAGATGTTGAAACCTTCCTAAGATGACGCCAAAGTATCAAAATCAAGCAGGATGCGTCGTTTGCATGTTGGCTAGATATCTGATTAATGACTATCCCAGTATGAACAGGTATATATATATATATTTATATAAACTATTACGATTATTACTCCAATTGTTATTGTTAGTGTTGCTGTTATTGCTATTGATGTTGTTATCCCATTATTACCACATGACTAGATTGTATCATCTATTATTTATCAGATCTTTCATAGATATTAGGTATCACATTATCTATCATATTATCATATATAGATAGATATTATATAACTATTATAACTTGATTGATTCTATTAAAGTTCTAGAATTTGAAGTTATCAATGGTTTTGATTATTATCTAGGACTAGTGTCTATTATCTATCATATTATCTATCATATTATTATAGTATCATAGTATATCTTAATGTTGTATAACTACTATTATCTAAGTATCACAGATATGTTTAACTACCATTATGACTAGATAGATAAATGTATGACTATTACTATGACTAGATGTAAAACCAATTAGTAAGTGGGTTAGTTTACCCCAGTTGCAAGTCAACTAACCCTACTTAGCCCAATCCAAAACCCAAGGTTATAACCCACTTACGATCCGTGGGATGAGCCACCAAGTACTACTAATGATTATCATATCATATCATGCGGCGAGAAATATGATTAATTATATTATATTATCACATCTAGCGTCATGTTATCATATTAGTATATTGTCTATCAGTAATGTTATGTAACTAGTCATATCAATGTTAATAAGATAATAATAATGTTACTAGTCATAGTTATAAACTACTAGTAATATTAATGTTACGAGACATAGTTATAATTATATCTTATTTATGATATCTTATTATATTATATGTTATCATATTGTTACTAATATCATATCATGATATTGTCTATTATTAATTATATATAACTAGTCATATCTATGATGTTATTATTATCTATTAATGACTATTATTAGTATTAATGGCTATTATTGTCTATTCATGTCTATTTATGTCTATTGTCTATAACTGTTATTGTCTATCTATGATGTCTATTATCTATTGTTATCTAATATTGTCTTTTATTATCATTAATATGATGTTATAACTATATAGATTATTGTCTATTATCTATTATTGCTAGATATCTATATAACATTATCTAATATGATCTTAATGATTGTCATATCTAGTGATCCTGGCCTTCCGGCCTTCCGGCCTTCGCTGCCCAGGCGTTGCATCCTGGCGGAGACGTCGACGTCGTCGACGTCGTCGTCGCGGAAGTCGGTGGCGCAGCAGGCGAAACGGAAGAGCCGGGGCCCCCGACCGCGGTCATGGGGGCAGGGATTTGATGGAATTTACTCCCTGGTTATTTCACATAGCCATGGGAAATGGCCCATAGAAATAGATGGTTTACCTATTAGTAGCATGGTGGATCTTTCATGGCCATGTTAAATAACCAGATGGTAATGGTTATATAATGGGATTTGATGATAATTTTATGGATGATTTTATGGACTTCAATGGGATTTGATGTTCAAAACCCCTGTTGGTTGATGATTATAGTCGTTTCATTTGGTTTTCACCATGAAAATATAGGGAAATAAGTGGATATAACTGATAAATGATGGTTGGTTGATGATTAGTTCGGGTATTATACTACCCAGTATATGGAAGATTATTTCATAATCCAAGAGCGGGGAATCCCGTTTCTAGCCAACCAGTATAATGGAATGATAGTGTGTGGGGAAGAGTATGATAGATATGTCGAGATGAAAATGGATATGCTCATATGTGATATGATTGATGAAATATATATATATATATATATTATGTTACAGTATAAGTATATTGTATTTAAAATTATATTGTTTAACTTTATTTATATTTATATCATATTTTATTTTATTACAGAATATATCACATATATGTTAATTTCATATATATATATGTGTATGTATCATTGTATGACCACAGATATATGGCTTTGTCTGAAAAATAGAGGAGTCGCCACATCCATAGCCATTCCTTTCTGGGGAAAATGATGAGAATCCATTGGATCTGTCAACATGTCACGCTGGAAGGGAACTGATTCTCTGACCATTGCTAGTATATACAGGATATGGATGTGTATAATATATATATATAATACATACATGTAATATGTATAATGGTAGTAACTGTAATTTTTTAAAAATATATATATATATAACTACCGATGGTGAGGAAACTCGATGGCATTGGCGGAAGCAACCCCAGAAACACAAGCGGGTGATCCTTCAAATAATAGATCTTAACTTACCCCCATCATATATGAATATTATCCTTAATATTCTCATTGTACCACTTGGTTGATAGGTCCCCCTATGTTTCCCTACTATTTTGTGATTTCCAAATCCCCAAAAATCCAGGTAGTCTAATTCCCTACATAACTAATCCTCCAAAGGACTAACTTTAATAGCTCATCTACGCATGATTTTCCCAATCATTACCCTCTGGTAAACTAACATAGCTGTGGAAAATCAACATGTTTAAATTTACTTATTAACTATAAATGGGCCGTGTTCTATAGCCATGCTAAATTACCAGAGGGTACTTTTATATCAGTACAGGATGGGGCCCCCAAGATAGCGTTCAGTTGCCTAAAAACAGTGGTTTAACCATGGTTTATGGTAGATATACCTGATATAACTAGAGTTAATGGATGCATTCATAAGTTCATGGTTTATAAACTAGAGTTAAACTAGAGTTAATGGATATATACCTGATATAACACTAGAGTTAATGGTTTATAAACCAACAAACAAAAAACTGGGGGGGCCTCCTGTATAAACCATCGCCTATCCGGCCCAGGTATGGTGATGTTGGCCGACGCCTTAGACCCCAGCAAGAAAGGCGTGGGAGCCGCGCAGGCAGGTGGCTGCCTCGGGGATCTCATGCCCAAGGCCATCGAAAGGTGCACTGACCATGGAAAAATTGGGCGAAATTCGGCTGGGAAATTTGGGAAATGCCGAAGATGGAGAGTTCACCCAAAAAAATTGGGAGTTCATCAAGATCCGGTTGGTGGTGACTGGAAGATTTTCTATGACTTTCCAGAAACGGTTGGGAATGAAAAATCATCCCAACTGACTTTCAGTGCATGAAGTCCATCATTTTTCAGAGGGGTAGGCTCAACCACCAACCAGTGAGTTCATCGAGTTTTTTTTCTTGGAAAAAGCCTAGGGGGAGGTCAGCAAGAAAAGTGGATTTGAGAAAAATGAGGAGTTAAGCCACAAGAATTGGGACTTCACCAAAAAATGGGGAGGTTACCGAGAGAGATTGGGATGTTTTAAACGAAAAAATGAGTGTTTATAAAGGGATTAGGAATGATCAGATGAAATGAAATGGGATTTGACCTAGGGGATGTGCAATTTACCAGCAACAAAATTGCGCTTTAACCAACCCAAGAGAAGGTGGAGGGTTGATTTTGTTGTACTTAGGGGAGTGGGTTGTTTGGTTTCTTCGGTTCCTCGAAGCTGGTTGTGATTATAGCAACCTCAGGAAGACGGTGGTTCTCTTGAACTTCACAGAGGCTTGAATTGCCAGTCTGAATGACCAATCTGAAGTCTATAATTAGCTAACGGTTTCACCAGTTTAGCAGTTTTTCATCTTACTGGTGCTTAGTAGGGAATTTTCAGGAATGATCCATAATCACTAATAATGTCATCATCCCAGCAACCCCCAGCAACCCATCCATTCCCGACGTCAAACGCACCAGTAAGTCATGACTAACCTCGGTTTTGGACTGAGGTTCAAGTACCCCTTGGTGCTTCTATTCTTGGGCATCACCGGGTTGCAAGCCTATTTGGCGGTCTCCAATATGGAACAAGCTACTGGGATCCCGCAGACCTTTCCCGATTGGCACAACCAGGACAGCCAGGAACCGATTTTTTGAAGGTACCTACCATAATTCCAGGATCCTTTAACATAGCTATGGAAAATGTAACATTTACAGATGATTTTATGATTTTCCCAATAAAACCTCCATTTATAATGGATTTTCCATAGCTATGTTGAATTACCAGAGGGTACCTACCATATGTAAGGCCTATTTTTTAGGCCTATGTAAGAGAATATCCCCAGAAAATATGGCCTTATATGGTACTAACGTACCTCCAATTTAGGATCCTGGAATTCCCATTGATAGTACTGCGGGTTCTTCAGTTGGATCCTTGGATGGTTGGTCTGAAAATGGATGGATTTGCTGAAGGGGATGGAATTGATTTTCTCCATGGGAAATCCAATACTTGGGGAATCGATGAAGGGCATATTTTTTAGTTTTTGGTGGTCCCTTAAGCAAATCCATGAATAGATGGATTTCTGGAAAATCAAGCACTAAGCTGGGTCAACCAAGTGGTATTCCACGAAGGAGTACTTCAAACTCGTTTGACATCAATCCCATATGCGATCCATGGTGCTGGTATATAAAAACCTACATGACTGCCCTTGCCCAAAATCACCCAGTCATGTAGGTTTTTATATACCAGCACCATGGTGAGCTAATATGGGAATGGTAAAAAAAATGTAAAAATGTACATTCACCAGCTAAACATTCGATGTTTGAGCAGGTATCACAGATTCTCCATGCCATCTGGAAGCAAAAATTGGTGCCTTCCCAGCCGGTTGGTCAGTGGATTCATTGGGTTTTTTTCGCCTTGGGTGATCTCATGATCTTTATTGGCTACCCTCTGGTTATGTCAAAATAGCTATTGAAAATAGCCATTTATAGTGAGTTTTCCCATTAAAAATAGTGATTTTCCATAGTTATGTTAGTTTACCATGCACCAAAGTTACTATGATTTTCCCATTTAAGCCTCCATTTATAGTGGGTTTCCCATGTCTTTCCATATATTGCGATGATTTTCCCATATAAAAACTTCAGGGATTTCCCAGCACGGCGAAAAAGAAGTGGTCGCAGTTTCTCATCGCAGGAGGCGGGTAAGAAATATGAAGATCTTTTTGCACCGTTCGTGCCTTGGGAATTGTTCAAAAGATTTGTTGGGAGATGGAATCACTTTTGAACATGTGAATTCAACCAAGCATTGTTGGGGGATACACATAGCATGATGTAGTGTAAAATTCTTTGTGGCTAGAATTGGAATGGTTATCCGAGGAACTTGATGTTTTTTAGTGGATGTGTAACCCAAGTTTAAACCATAGACTATTAATGTTGTATGACTACTATTATAGTCATAGTATATCATATTAATGAACAACATATGAGCCGCGGACTTTATTTGGTAACGCAATTGACGAGATGTTCCTACCTCATTCTCCAGTTCCGTAGCGTTTTTTGGGATCTGACCTCGTTTTCCAACACCGCGCTTGCTTTTAGTAGCTAAATGCTTTACAGGAAATGCCTCCCTCGTTCTCGGGGTGTCCCTACCTCGTTTTACATCCTAATTACGATGTTTTCCGCAAACCGGGGTACGCCCCAATACTACTCTCCATTGAACCAAATAAACGCCGTCGTTCATATAATATAATAGTAGTTATACAACATTGATAGTATCAATGAACTACTATCATATTAATGAACGATATTAATGTGTTGGGCTTCCAAAAGGAATAGATTTCTATCCCCAAGGGTAGCACGGGCTGGGCTGCCCGTTTGGACAACTGGCACTTCTGAATGGGTCAATGATCATCCATGGTGGGGGTTCAATTCTTTCCGCACCGAACTCACTTGCTGAATTCTATGGTTTTATGGGATATATATATATATATAATATATGTATGTACATACTTGTGCAACTGTGTATATATATATATGCATGATATATGCATAACTACAGCTGGTTTGTATAACTTTAACGCAAAAGTATAAAGTTAGGGAAGAATTCATCCCGCGAAACGTACGCTTTTTGATCGCGGATTCAGCCGACATGGGGTCGTCCCGGTTCATCCTAGTTTCAATGGATCGGTTTTGTTGGGAAAATCTTCACCGGAAACCCATGGGTTTTTCCCATGAAGATCATGGGGCTTTCCTGCATTTTTTCCCCTTAAAGCAATCCAATGATAGTTGACTGTTGAAAAAAACAAGTTCCTCGGATAAAGATTCTAATTCCAATAGTACAGTTTTACGACATTAATAGACTATTTATGACTATTATTATCTATCAATGTCTATAGTTCTTGAACATGGGATTGATTCTTTGGGCAAGAGGAGAAGTAGTCTTTTCATTCTGGTAACAAATATGGGTGATAAAGCCAGCCGTTTTTTCATGGGTTTATCATCATTTCCCCCATGAACTGTGGCATTTTTTTGGCAGTTCGCAAGGCCCATGGACACAACCCGCACCATCCCCAATGACTTTCGTTTTTGTGGTGTGGTGCTTATTGCAACATCACTGGTTGGTGGTGACTGGAACATAACCATATAGTCTAGGAAAATATATAGGAAAATATGGGTAAATATATGCTGGTTGGTGGTTTGGAATGAATTTTATGACTTCCATTCAGTTGGGAATGAAAAATCATACCAACTGACGAACTCCATGATTTTTCAGCGGGGTAGGTTGAAACCACCAACCAGAAAATATGGCGTCAATATGGATTTATTATTGCTTTACCAACATGTTGGATAATGTTCCCATTGAAATGCCATGAAAATTTTGGCTGGGGGGATTTCCAAGCCATGGCTATGATTGTCATCGCACCCATTTCAGACAAATCCTTCAATATCAAAAAAAGTTGCTTACATACCTACGGCATATCCCATGATATAGAAATATATTGGTGCCCTCATATGGTTGGAATTGATTCATGTGGGAATTTATTATCATCATATGGGAATTTATTGTGTTGCTTATATCCCATCTGATAGAATTATAGGTATCATATTCATAGGTGTCATACAGCATCATAGTGTTAATGATCTTGGTACCATTAAATTTAAATATTCCATAGTATATGATATCGTATTATATATATATACATATATATATATATTACATACTCCATATGTATTAAATCATATACACCATCATATTTTATGGAAACCAAAAACCTATGAACTCCTAAATGTTCACAATCTCAACGGGCCCTCTGATCACAGGGTTTTTGGCTTCTGGTGGCGAAGTCGCAAAGAAAACACGCAGAACTCACTTGGTGAAGTCTATGGTTTATGAGGGATATATATATATATATATACAGCATATATATATATATATATGTACTGTATATATATATATGTGAATACATATATATGATGAATCCTTTAGGAGGGTTATGCACGAGCACCCGGCATGCGGAGTTTCGGCTCACAGTGGAAAGGTCGAAGCTGGGCACAGCCTCCTCAGGGAGGTGTGCCCTTAACTGTGGGGCATGGAAGCCCTGAAAAAGTATGGGAAGGAGCTGGGTCTGACCGTGGATGAGGTGGACCTGGCCCTTCGACTTGAGAGGCCGGCAAGTGATGCCTCTTGGGTCACTGCGGCTGATTTGGGGCCTGAGGCCCTACGCATAGCGGTAGAGACCATGGAGTCGGGCCGCTACGTGGAATATGCCTGCTATGATGACCGCGGCAATCCACAGGGAAGGGCCATCATCAAGTTACAAAGCTGGGAGGATCAATTGCAGGGACTCCTGACAGCTGAGCATGGTGAGGCCTCAGATGAGTACTACCAATGGTACGCGGACAACAAGCTGGCAACAGGCGCAGTCTACCACATATGTAGTGGTGAGCACAAGCGCTGCCGAATGAAGCTGGCGAGGGGTGACAAACGTGAGATGGTCCATTTGGATCATTGGAGGTTGCTGAGCCCTGCAGCCATGATGCATGCAGCTTATCTGCAACCGCTGGGTGAGCGTCTGGGCCGGAAGCAGCTTGAGGCCAAAGCTCACGCCAAGGTGGCAGCGCCAGTGGTAGACCCTCCGGGGGGAACCGGCTTGGAAGCTGCGGTGGAAGCTGCTAGGAAGGCGGTTGAGAGCATTGGACCGCCGCAAGGGCCTGCTAGAGAGCACAGCCCCAGGCGAAAGAACTCCCAGTCACCCAGTGAAAAGCGAGGAAGAAGAAAAGAAAAGATTAGGAGTTTGGATGAGCATCTCCGAAAGGGGATTGAGAGGACCAAGGACCTTGAAAGGTCAAGGTCAAAGAAGCGTGGCAGGACAGACACGAGGGACAGACGGCGGAGATCAGGTGGTGGTCACGGGACGGGCTCACGAGAGAGGTCCAGTGACACCAGTCGGTCCAGTGGGAGCTCGCATTTTCGGAAAACCTCAGCTCGGGGAGGGGACCTTTGGCGAGT